TAGCTACCTAGACTGCGTTTACACTACTGGAAGCATTGTAGTTATTCAAACTTTGATCTAAGAAAGAACATATCAATTTTAGTCAGCGAACTTCTAATTGAACTGTGAAATCCTTTATAGTCAACGTTTTCAACAGCTGAAGAATGAGCCAACTTAGGGAAGAGTTTTTCGTTTAAGGAGAATGTGCTAAAAACTCGCACATCATGCATTGAAAAGGAATCATTCTCTCTTTCCAGGAAGGAGGGTAGTTATAATGCTACAAACAACAACAACAGTTTACAACAGTTTATTTATTAAATCACTCTAATTACATGAATTGAAATCAAGCGACAACATTTTCCTAACAGTTTCTGTAGTGTAATCAATGCACCGCTGAAAGGCAGGTTGATTCAAAAGGTCCTGTACAGTACAAACCCATTTCCAGAGATCTTGATTTGGTCTCTCTCTCTCGTTTGAATGTTTTCACTTTTGATTTTCATATGGAGTAAAGTTAGTTAGGACGAGAAATTAAAGCAAATGGCTTGATATTAAGGTTTGAATAAAATCCCCCTCAATCTGGAAAAGATGGCGTTGCTGCTCGCAATTGCAAACCTTCTTTCTTATTAACAATTTCAAATCTCTGCATCTTAATCTTTGACTTTCCTCGAGCAGTGCGTCATCTTTTTTAGCTGCGTCAAAAGCTGGCATTTTTTTATTAGTATTGGTTGTGGTTTGTTGTGCTTGTTTTATGTTTTCATTATTGGTGTTCATGACGCCCAAACCGGAACTGACGTGTGTAAAAACTTCCAGAGTCATGTTGAAGAGTAGCGGAATTCGGTGCAAATTCATATAAACGAAAAGAGATCGAGAAATAGACTTATGAATCTTTTACGCCACTACTTGATAATTCATTATGGGTCCAATTTCTAAGGGGAATTCCGACATGTTTTGTCGGAAATATATCCTACAATGCATTGCGTATACGGTACATGGCGTAAAAGCTTCAGAGGTCTATTGAGAGGATAAATTTAGTTCTTTTTATTATGTGTAAGAGTTCATTAACTCAAATTACTAATCTTTCACGCAACAAAACACCAGGACTTTTTATAATCCAACATAAAGATATATCAAAGAAATTTAGTTCTTTAGATCTAGTATTTACCAGGAAAGTTTTTAAAATACTCACATCATCTTTATATAACATAACAGTTCACCATCTATGTTAATCGAATTCACCAACTGACTCGTTCTTAATTTTTATGGTAAATAGAAAAGGACATCATAATCCCGATTCAGTCAAAGTGTGTAAGAAAGTAGAGATCTTCAAGGAGGTAAACGGTGGTTATAACTGCACCCATCCAAGTAATGTATCCATGGATATCATCATGTACGATTACGCAGATGTCAACAGAAGTCTTATCAAGACAGAGTACTTTGGCTTTAATTTGGAAAAGAACCGATACAAACCTGAATGGCTTTTCCCTCTAGGTAATAGAATAAAAGATCTTTCTATTATTGCCCCCCTCAAAACATTCTACTGTCTTAACAAGGATTATGGTCGCCAGAGGGGATAAGAGTACCCGCAGTCCCATGTCCCATAGTCATGCATTCGCTTTTCGAGAAAAGCCGTTTTAAGTGTATATCAAAACATGATACTTTAAATTTCTACTCTTGGAAAGAAATTCCACTGTTTCTGAGCATCTATCCCCCATGTCAACATGCTGTGACGTCATTATGCCATAGTCAAACTTTGTTTCACTGGTTTAATGACTTCAAGGATAAAACAAATACTTTTTACCTATTTGATGACCTCTTTATTACCACATTGCCAGGAAAACTGAAGTTTGAAGATATGGAACTTCCGGTCCCCAATGACCCTGAAGCCTGGCTGACAGAACAATATGGCTACCTTGGACCAGACTGCTACTACGACGAAACCGTGCACAAGTACCGGAAACGGCCCGCTGCATGGTGATATGAAATAGATAGAGCAAAGAATACGGAATCATAATTATAGATTTATTGCAATTAATTAACACTGGTAAAGAATGCTCATCTAGGAGGGTTTTTTTTCACGCCTTTCATAAGCTCGTGGCGACTGCGCAATATTTATCAGGAGGGAAGGGGGGGGGGGCTTAAGAAATGAGCCCACAAAAGTTAATTACTATTATCTCCCCTCGCAAACGAAATAAATTACGCAGCAGTAAAGAGTTGTCGCAAATCCTGGCACGCTTTTCTTGAGAAGTTTTCCACTTCAATAATAAGTATTTTGCCAAAAAGCACAGATTCTGACACCGTTGAGTTTTCAGTTTCCAGTTAAAGTTCTAGTTAATTTTAGACGTTGCCCCCACCCCCTGGATTCTCAAACCCCCTTCCTGATAAATATTGTTCCTTAACTGTAATAACTAATATCTAAGAATTTAAACTTCGTAAAGTTAATTGGATAATATAGAAAGTTAGTACTTCCTATAAAAAAAATGAAAACAATAATTTTGTAATTAGGATGGTTTTCATCCATTTTTATAGCAAACGACAATTTTAAATTCACGACGTGGCTATGCCACTAAAACCTTGGATTACTACACTTAGTTCGTCTTCTTCATCTTAGCTTTTAGGGAGAAAATCCGTCTTTCTATAAAGCAAGTTTTAATAAAAGATAGGTTTTCTCCCTAAAAGATGAATTCTTGATCCGCAACACGCACTTCATAGCAATTAATCACATATTGTTTTAGATGAAATATCTAGTCTCGATCGATATTGATGGATTCACTTTACATGACTTTAGAGTGAAGGACTCGTGTCACTGTATGTAGACGCAGAGGTTTCTGCCAACGAACTGTTCAATTCTGCAATGCGTACCAGAGAGAAGATTTCGTATGTGTTGTGCAAAGGCTACCGTGCTTGACCGCGCTGTACTGTGGTCACGGTCTCTCCGCATTTCAGATTTTCATACGAGGTAAGCATCGTTCTCGAGCTAAATCGTGCCGTTTCACGGTTAACGAAATCTACTCTCTAAATATATCAAAGGAACACAGTTATGTTGATGAATAAACAAAAATAAAGTTTATTTGATGTACATGTAATGTGCTTTCTAAAGGACAGTTTGGATTGGCGATTTTTGCGGCGATTTTTGCTGCAATAACTTTTCGGACGATTTTGAAAAATACATTGCACGACAATCGCCACTTTGCTCTCGTGCACCTCAAATCGTACGTATGTAAACAGCCCTGCGATTGTCGCGGCGATCGAAAATTACCGCGAGTTGCAGCTAAATTTCAAGCATGTTCGAAACTCAGGCGGTTGTCCCGCGACAATGTAAACGGGCATTAAGGACACTGTTGGTTATCTCATCACAGTAGCTCACAGTGCACTGAATAAAAGTTTATAAGTTGGCGTTAAGATCAAAATGACGTCCACTCAACAATCGCCGCTAAATTGCGGCGAAAATCGCCATTGTGAACGTTCCTTATCAAAGATCTCGACTCAGACCGAGTCTGGTAACAGTAATGTAGCCTGTGTACATCCGTTTCTCACCCCTCCAAAAAAATCGGGGAGAGAACGTCTGTGATTTGCCGTTGCTAATCGTGTTCTGAGGTCCTCAAGATTTTTTTTGGAGGGGTGAAAAACGGATGTACACAGGCTACAGTAATGGAGAGTGACTAAATTATTCGCAGTTTATTACTCTAGTTTCGAGATCTTATTTGTGCAGCCTTAACCTCGAAAGCATGTAGTATATAGAGGATATTACAGGGGCACGCGGAGGTAAGGATTTTATCTTCGAGTGCATGTTGAAAAGATCTCTCACGAATGAGCGTAGCAAATGTGATATTTTAATTAGTGAAAATATCTGAATTTTACGAAATGGAGAAATTCTTTTATTCAGCAGAGATCCTATTGTAATGCAAACACTCTGTGTACAAAGAAGACAATAAATATTTGTGCTTGATTGCATCTAAGTTTGCACAATAGAGAATTCGAAACTGCACTATTTGTGTCTCAAGACTAATTCATACAAGTACGGGCTGGCAAATTTCAATTTGGGATTTGAGCAAATATATCTACCCAAGACAGACTATTTTTTTCCAAGATTTCCATATAGCCAAAGATGAAATAAGTTAAGGAAGGAAAGGATAGTATAACAAAATACAGTTCCGAAAAGAAAAAGGGGAAAAAATGATGGAAAAAGGTGGTCCGAGATGAGCATTAACAATGTGTATGGGTTCCCTGTGTTGAATTGGTCAGCGGCAACAGGTTTTAGATTCCAAAATGGCGCCCGATGTGATGATCCCACCACTTCAAATCTTTATTAAAGTCGATAAACGTCTGAGCCAAGACGAAAAAACAGATATCATTCAAAGTATGAAGAAGAGATATCCAGTTAAATTGAACAGCTTGGACAATAAGAATTTCTTGGAGTTACTGGAAGCACTATTCAAAATTGGCGCCATAACAGAAGACCTGTCGCTTATCACTAAAATCACTGCGAATGCAGAGAAAAAGGAAGAAATCCAAGACATTATTGGCAAATGTGAGCCACTAAAGAAAGAATTTGTAGGAAGAAAACAAGATGTTACAAAAATTCGCTCGAAGCTTACTAATAAGCTGCCTTGTGTTCCGGGAATAAATCTTTTTGGGGAATCAGGAGTTGGCAAAACAACGCTTGCTCAAGAAATTGCAAAATCCCTGAAAGATTTCAAGCTGATCACTATCGATTTAAGAGGAATTCTTGAGATGGGAAATGTCTATTTTCATGTTCTTGACGGATTCAAACTGCCAGCTTGGGATAAGGATATCAGTAGATTCATCTCATACCTTAAAACTCTGAAAGATAAAACCCTTTTGATTCTTGATAATGTTGAGCAACTACATGTTATCCCATCAGAGAAAGAGACTGAGAGCCAAAAAGCAGAGTTTTTTGATTTTCTTCTTGAGATAGTTACTTCAACAGCTTGTAAAAGTGGTRATTTGAAGCTTCTTYTGACTTCAAGGGAGAGATTGGAYRATGCAAAGTTAARGCAAAGATTGYTTTCTGATYATRAKGTTCAGCCTTTTGATGACAAGGTGTCTAAACRCTTTCTTAGTCGTGATGARAAACAGATTCCTGGAATTTCTAAAGAGGATGAAGAAGCAAATATGGAGGAAATTGTAAAGCTTTGCAAAAATATCCCATACCTATTACAGGGTGCCAAGCAGATGCTTAGAGAGGACTTCAGTCCATCGTCACAGGTGTTGGAAAGGCTTAAGTCTCAGCTAGAGAAAARGGTTCCCAAGGAATATGCTTGCYTGGCTGAACAATTTGAATCGATCCCCAATGACCACCTCAAACAGCTTGCAGTGAAGATATCTCTTCTTCAGCAACCTTTCTCTGTCTCTACAGCAACAAAGATTGGTAATATTTCATCAAATTATGATGCCACTATTGATTTAGAATTGCTAGCAGTTCACAAAGTAATATCAAAAGTAGATGGAAAGAAGTTAAAGTATGATATCCATGCTCAGTTCAAAGATTTTGTGAAAAAGTATCTTTGTAAAGCCCAGCCACAGTACAAAGAGACATATCAAGAGGGAGAAAAACATTTTTTTTCTCACTTCTCCAGTAAAATGAGCAAACTTGCTCAACATTTAGATAAAGAGTTTGTCAATGTCTATTCAAAGCTTGAAGGAAACCGCGCTAATTTTGAGCTGGCCATTGACATTTCAAAGAAACGAAGTGAAGTCTTTGATGTTCTTCTCCATTCTGATGAGCATAACGAGGCTGCTTTGATGGGCCTTTTGTTTGAAGCATTGAAAGACATCAATGAAAGAAAGATGCTGTATTCACAGTGGGCTGAAAATGCAGAAAATTCAGGTAGGCTTATAATAATCAGTTTTTACCATTAATCCAGTTTTAAATTAAAATTGTCATTCTACTTTTGTATTTTTATCTTTTACATTTTGTTGCTACTCATTTTTGTTTTGGGCTTCCTGTAGGAAAAGGAAGCCCCAGACAAAAGCACTGGCTCTGAAGGAGACTTTATTTCTAGGATTCATGTCCAAGCAAGACACTGGGTACAAGTTTTAAAATGTACAAAATCGCCATGTGATCTATATAATCTTAAAAGGCATAAAGACAATTTTACAACTTGTAGTCAGCCTCCTGCTCGGACATGGCAGCTAGCAAGAAAATAATGCTTTGAAAGCTATGAATGATAACTATATAAGAAAGGTTGCTTAAACGTAAAATATAGTAATAGATGAGGTGACGGTTTTGTCCGCCATTTTGGACCGGYAGGCATRGTGTCGCAAAATAACAAGGAATGACCGGGAAATCGATGTCAAATAATTCTCGCCAAATTCAAATTCAGAAAGTATTATCAATTGCAAACGTTAATACCTCAAAAAGGAGTTAACTGGCCAAATTTGAAAGGCGTACTTGATCTAGAGAGCGAGTAAACTCACTTTTTGTTCTCCATACATTTCTATGTAATTTCGATACATTTCGTTATCATTTCCGGGGTCATTAGTGCATGACGCGCATGAAAAATACAAAGAAATGTATTTAAATTCAGTGAGAATTACTTGACATTGATTTCCCGGTCATTCCTTGTTATTTTGCTACACTATGCCTACCGGTCCAAAATGGCTGCCAAAACCGTCACCTCATCTATTCGAAAGACTGTTATTGCATAATCTTCATAGACAAAAGGACTTTTGAACTTGGGGATCACATGATCATACCAACCTTAAGCCTATCAACTATGACAAAGTGATGTCCAGAAATAAAAGGTGCAGGTTTACATGAAGGAAGTTCAAATACATAAAAAAGAGATAAACAAAAAACATGGGCATTTTTATAACATTTGTCTGATTGGAGTACAAACCATTACTCCAGTTCCATTTTCACATCACATTTCCATTTATATAAAACTTTTCTTAAAATACAGAAAGGATTAACAATAACAACAACAACAACAACAACAACAGCAGCAGCAGCAACAACAACAACAATAATAACAATAACAATGACAAAGACTTTCTTTCACGAGGGTAGCACGTAATAGCAATGCTAATAAACTTGTGGCCCTCAGAAAAAACATTTCCATGTCTATACCACGTCGCTCGTGAACCTGCGCGATTTGATTGTAATATGTCGGAATCTCCCAGTGGTTGTCGCTCCCAACAAGTTTCCTTATCATGTCCAATTAAACATGTTGAGAGTGTTTTCACAATTTCAGGGAAATGGTTGACCAGTGCACAGTTAAGATGCTGGCAGGCTTTACAGGGAGCAGACATGGAAGGAACACGTGATGCCAATGAAGCGCTCCGCATTGCAGAAGAATCCCTGAAAAAGGCAGAGCAGCAACCGCAACAGCCGCAGGAACAACTTGATTCTGCTAAAAGCCTGTTCCTTCATGCCAGTGGAAGAATTAAGTGGCTCCATGCTTCAAAATCGCAGGACTCAAAAGAAAAGAAAGACGAAATTCAAGAAGGAATTAGAAATTTAAAAGAAGCTTTGCAGCTGAGTGAGGATGCAACAAAACAACAAGCCAGTACCATGAATGCTCGGATTATCAATCTGATTGGGAATTGCTACATGGAGCTAAACGATCCTTCGACTGCAGAGACGTACTTTCTCAGCGCATTGGAAATGAAAAGGAAACTTGTTGGGAGCGACAGCCACTGGGAGATCCCCACATACTACAACCAAATTGCGCAGGTTCACGAGAGACGTGGTATGGAAATGGAAAAGTCTTTTTTCGCGTTTTGGTATAGAAAGAAAATTGATGCAGAATACAATGCTGCAGTAGAATGGATGGAAAGAGCTCTTAAACTCCAAGACGATTTAGGCGTCAGTGATACAGAACACACCGCCACATTTCAAAGAAATCTTGCAAACTCTTTAATCGGTATTAGGGATTATGACAAGGCGCTGTCATATGCAAACATGTGTTATGAAAACAGACTAAAACGGCTGGGTGAACATCCTGAGACTGCTAGGATTCTGTACCTAACAGGAATTATAAACGAGTGGAGGAAAGATATCGAGAGTGCATGCAAAAGCTACGAAGAGGCTTTTGAAATGGAAGAAGCACTTCCAGAATACAATCACAGCATTGTGAGGATATTGATTCGGGAGAGATTGGAGGCGATGTACAAAAAGCTGAAACTAAAGAATAAGATAGAAGAGCTTAAAAAGAGAATTAAAGAGATAGAAGAGGTGGGTCTATTATCTTTATTGTAATTGTGCCTAAGTAGAAATAATATAGATATGAGATCTGTATTATATTTTTTTTAAAGCATGATTTAATGTGTTTATTTTTTAATTATACCCCCACTATTCCAATTGTTATGAAAAATTTTGTGTTACAATTATTTTGGCAATGATAACAATTACAGAATAAAAAATGTTAGTTAGAAAAAGGATTGTTATTAGGATTGAACTCATTTAATTTCTATCCATTCAATATTCTTTCTTGTATTAAGCACTCCAATTTGCAGCCTTCTGGATCTGCTACTGAAACCTCCAGGGAAACAGAGGCGCCAAATATATCAGGTAACAGCAATAAGATTTATTGATTATTTTGAGGACTTATTCGTGCTCACTTTGTGACCGTAAGACCACCGGTGCAACAACAGCCACAAATCCATCACTCCCTAGCTTCCTTTGGAAACACTTTATTGAACTACTTATACTTACCTTAATTAGACTACTTGATGTAAATACTAAATGTAAATATTATATATATGTTTTACCGTTGACTAAAATGGTTTTTTTTACAGCATGGTTTAACTCTTGTCACTGAACACTTTGAAGTGCTCCTCGTTTTTCTTGTTTCACGAAAACTTTGTAATGTCCCTTTGTAATGTCCCTCGTTTGAATGATTCGAACACACACTCTGCTTTTCTATTCAATGAAGATAATAAGTTCATTTGCAGACAAAACCGTTTATGCATCTAAACCCCAGAAGCAAAAACTAAACGTTACTCACAAAAATATTTAGTCAGGAACTTCGTGACACACTTTTGCTATAAAGTTTTAATTAACGCCTTTGTTTTATTTGTTTTGCATCAGAAGACTCAGATAACTCCGATGTGCCATCAGATGATTATAGTGACATCATGGATGCCTGTAACGTTTATATTACTGTGTAAGGGAACTGATTAACTGATGTCTGTTTTCGTTATCAGTAAAAAAGCGTTATTTAAGTGGAACCTCCTTAATACGGTCACAGAAGGGACAACAAAAAGTGGCCGTGGTAGAAACGTATGGTGGTTTAATTCGCAAGGCCGACCTAAAGATTTGGCCGTTCCACTGTAGTTGTTTTTTTATTATTGTTTTGATTGATTGATGGATTGATTAATTGACATGTTTCTTTGTGGCTTAACGTCCTTACGGCACCATCTTCAGAATCCATTTATCCATCTCTCTGTCGATTCATTCATTTATTCATTCTTTCATCCGTTTATTCTTTTCAGTTTTTCATTAATTTTCTTAATATTTCATTCTTTGTACATTCAGTACTTCTTAAAATCATTTGTCCATTTATTCTACCACTCGTTTATTCGGCAAGATCACCAAACTATATTGCACTAAAAGGTGTCCACTAAAAGGTGTCTACAACTAATTATTGCTCGGTTTTTAATAATCTGTTGATATATGATTGGATGTCGATTTGATTGGTCCCTTTGTGATTTTGATTTTGACTTTGTTTCCATAGCAACCAACAAGGCGGAACGTACAACCATTTGACAAGAGGTTTCTGTCTTCAATTCCCTCCTGATTGCGTCAAAGAAGCTACACGGATAAAGTGCGAGGCGTCATCAAAAACAACCCTCCCCTCCCCTGCTCATCCAATGGAGTGTCTCGTTAGCTCTGTCGTTCAAATTAGACCATGTTCCGTGCAACTCAAAATAATAAAGCCTTTTGTTATGATACTACTGCATTGTGGGGTTGAGAAATCAAAGGGATATGAAACTAAAGTGAAAGTCTTCTATGAAGAAAGTGGAAAATGGGAAGAAATGGAAGGTTAGAGAAATCCCATCCAGTCCAGCGTCTATGTATTAATTTGTTCATTCATCTTTTCATTATTTATATCATTCTATATGAATCTATAAACTGTTTGTTTGTTTTATAGAACTGCAAGAAGAATCGATACCTTTTGTACATGTAAACATTGATCCCCCTTCGTTGAAGTACGTTAGAATACAGCCTTCAAAAATGGCAGCCGTAGCAGTAGTTTCCAGGCTTGTCACCGATACGTTCGAGGTACCAGTCAGCGGTTGCGTTGTCAAGTCGAGCGTTTGTCCTGACGTCACGCTTCGTTTTCCTGAAGGGGCCGTTGATAAGCCGAACAAAGGAAGCTTACAGGTGACGCATGCGTGGGGGGATACTTTTTTGCATAATTGGTCAAAATGTAACCGAACAATGACAAAGTTTTTTTATTATTTGATACAATGACAAAGTGTTTGCAATGCAAGCCAACATATATGTGTTTATAAATGCAGATCATCCCAATTCCTGATCACGTTATTTCTGAATATGAAGCGATTCCAAGTCCAGTTTTGCTGTTACATGGCTTCGAGAATGTTACTTTCTGTGAACCCGTTCGCATTACGGTTCCTTGTGCGTCCCTTTCTGGCAGCATTCGGCTCCTGCGTCTGGACGATATAAGAAATCCGCCTTTTCACTGGAAAGACATCACTTCAGATGACATTAAACCTAAGATACATAACCATGTTATAGAACTGGAAGTAAAGCGATTTTGTGGGTAGGTTCCAGTGAACAAGGCTAAATCATTTTTTGTGACTCTGTTTTGTTTTTCATTTTGTTTTAATATTGAATATTTAGCCAATAATTAAGTTGCGTAAGTACAGCGATAAGTGAGTTTTAAAGGAGCGATTTATTCCCGAATTTTTCGGAGCTCTCTAATTTTCTGTGTTTGAATAAATCAGGTCACTGTTTGTGCATTGCTGGCTCTAGCTCTTCACAATACATATTCATTTATGGAAGCACTTACCATGATATTTGTCGCTTATCTCTTCTTGTCAAACTACTAGGCTTTGGGGTTGGATTACGTCAGCAAGAGATATACTCATCGAGAAAGCCCTCATTCTTTATTCCCATATATGTGTACATCCTTGCCGTGTCGTCTTTGAAGCCTACCATAGAAAACCTGAAACCTTGGAAAGCAAAGAGTTCGACTTGATGCTTGTATGTGTCACGTACGATGAACAACCAAAGGTTGAAGAAAGACTAAAACAACGTGAGAGCGTTAATGTCTTTATAGGTAATTCGATTGATTGATTGATTGACTACTATTGACTGATTTTTGGTAGACTACTACTACCTTAAACATGCTACACCAGATGACGGTATGCGAACGAATGAAAGAGCCTTTCCTAAATTTGAAGGAGAAGAGCAGTTAAAATGGGATCAGGACTTCTTTCTTGAGTGAGTTATTTAATTGTTGTTCTTTTAAAACTTTTCTGATTCCATGAAATTTAGCCATGCCATATATTAGCAGGATCTTTGTTTTAATTAATCATGAATTTGAGTTTCACGGAGTGCGATGTCATAATTGTTTAATGATAATTTTCAATTACAGATTTCCAGGGTTTGGGGGAGGATCGTGTGAAAAACCGCTCAACTTAGAGACTAATCTTACCAAGATTGATCTCAAATTTTATCGCGATAAAGAAACAGAGAAAAACCTTCTTTGCAAATTACCCGGCTTGAAAAAGAAGCAAGGAGCAACGGAGCAAAGACAAGAAAATACACCATCACAGGTAAGGAAGATGTATGCGATGTCATTGAATTATGGGCAGTATCTACACGTTGATTTCAAATAAAAGCCTGTACAAACCAATCCCTAATTGCCCTAGTTCATTATGACGTCACATCAAAACATTTATTGTTTTAACGCTAAGGATTATGGTCGCCAGAAGGGATCAGAGTGACTGCATATCAAATAAAATGTACATGAACAATCGTTTATGCATGACATATATCAAAACACGATTCATTGAAGTTCTACTTTTGTAGACAATACAAATGGGTCCAAATTTCCACTGTTTTTGACCATCGTTTTCCGATGTAAACATACTGTGACGTCATAATGAAATAGGGCAATTCACTCGGATGAACACGAAACAATGGCTTCATTCCGAGGCTGGAGTTTTATCTTTTGTCGAAAACTCCAGCCTCGAAATGAAGTCACTGTTTCGTGTTCATCCGAGCGAATTTGGGATTGTTCTATTGAGCTTGCATTCAAATATCCTCATGGAATTCAAAAAGCGATCTTCGCTCTTAGTGTAATGTGTAGTTTCATTGTTGATATTTTTATTATAAATATTGTTACTGCTATTGCTTGTAGTGGTAGTTTTTTTCTGCACTGGTGTTGTTTTTAATGTTGTAACGGAACCAATATATGTGTACGTGATAAACTGATGGATCTTTTTAAAATATTTATCACAAAAACATTTATGGCAATTTTTATTTTCAGGAGACTTATAGTGAACGCAAGGTAATTTTTTGCTATACACACAATTAAAGTAAACAACTACTTTGAAAGCGATTGTTACCTTAGATTATTATGAAGAACGTTTTGAGGTTTATATCGAAAAGGAGCACAAAACGGTCTTGAAAACAAACTACGCGAGTGCTAGTCAAACGGAATTGCTCGCAAAATGTATGAGATTGACATTTATTTCATTTTAGATCTGGGTCGAATATTGTGGAATCACCTTTGATATTCTAAGAGACATTTCTGAACAAGATGCTGATCATTTACTTCAACTCTTCGACGAAGAAAAAGTTAAAGACACCATACATGGATTTAAGAAGCGATGGTATGACGATAATGGTGTGGAGGAGTTCTTGTCTTTGCTCCATAACATCCCATATCATAAAGTGTACGAAGCGTTGAATAAACCAGATCAAAACACACAAGACCGCCTGGATCACATTTTGAAAAAGATTCAATATGGTAAGAATCAGTTTTAAGAAGGTAGTATTTATTTTTTTGCGAACGAAAAGGAGTACTAGGTCTTTTTGATGAGCATCTGTTAGTAGGTGAGCACCTGAGAACAATCAAAGTGAAACCATACCATCAATTTGATTACTCCCCAGTGCCGACCTGCTCAATTGCCCTATAGTATAATGACGTCACAGTATGTTTACATTGTGGATAGATGCTCAGAAAAACTCGAAATTTTATACCTATAAATATTCTTTAGAGTTTTTATGTACAGTACTTACCCGCTTATAAGAACCTGCAATTTAAGAACCTGTTAGCCTAAAAATATCAATTTAGACCCCGTTTATGTAAGAAGCTATTTAGCCTAAAATTTTGAACAGGTTCTTGTAAATTTTCATTACATAAGGAATAAATGAGAACCTATATTTAAGAACCTGCATAGCCTAAAATTCCACCAAGCACCATTTACATAAGAACCCGTTTAGGCTAAATTTGAAAAATGGGTTCTTATAGGCGGGTAAGTATTGTATATAATTTATCAATGATAGCTCATCTACATTTTATTTGAAATACAGTCACTCTGATTCCCTCTGGCGACCATAATCCTTAGCATTAAAACAATAGCATGTTTTGGTGTGACGTAGTTATGCAATAGGGCAATTAAGGACGTTCTTGGACATTGGACTGCGTGATGTCACTTCGATGAATTTTTTTGGGAAATACGCGGTGACATACACTTGAAAAGAAGTGATAAAAAAATGGAGATCACCGGCTTCATTTTAGAGATAATTTTTGCACAAAATTGGCAAAGAAAGCGCGCGAAAAGAAGTCGATGTCGTCTGCCAAAAAAGTTCTCGAAAACCGTAAAACACATAGCAATTGATCAAAAATTTTCCCCAAAAGCTGAGTTGGATAATTGTTAATATTGTTTACGAGACTTTGAAACATTACATGATATGATTTTTGATTTCTAAGTTAGGATTTTTGTCCATGTCAAGCCGCTACATTCGACGTTAAGAAGAGGTGTCATTTCTATCTAAAACTGCTATATTTCAGAAACCTCTGATGTCGCTTTTTCCGCTTTCACATGTTATATTTTTTCCAAGTAGCCTTCTCTTAAGAAAAATAGAAATTGGGGTTACCGGGTTTGTTGTCGAGATATTTCGTCACAAAATCTAAGATTTTGAGCGTGAAGACAATTTTGCATTGAGTAGAAGTTCAGAAAAGTACATACAAAACCTCACAAAGTCATAACAAGAGCGGTCGCCATCTTTGTATTGCGTGATGCAATTTCGTGACAACTTCCGGTTTTGACGTGCGCAGAAAAAGTGCGCTGTAGCAATGCCCTCGAACGTCCTTAAGGTTTTATCTGCATAAAAACTAAAACGTAAAAAAACCTCTTCTACAGAGTGAGCTATATAATCACTTTATACTTACTAAATATAACTTTCATGCAAATCTTTTTCTAGGTCACAAGATCACTGCAGAGACTTCTCTTCTTAATATTCCCCAAAAATTGACAAACACAATAAGCAATATGTCGACTAAATCCATAAAAGATTACAAGAAGTTCGGTCAACTTTTAGGACTAAGCGAGGAAAACCTTAAATCGTTAGAGTCTTCTCCTGCAGTTCTCAGTTTCTGGAAAGAAAATAACAAGGAGACGGGAAAAGTCGCTGACTTGCTCAAAGCTTTGAGAGAGTGTTGCGCTGATGATCTTGCTAAAGATCTGGCGAAGATTATAACCAAGATAGCCAGGGTACTATTATTTCCATATTTTTGCACTAAACGGTTATTCATGATATTGGACGTCCAATACCTCTTAAGGGTATGTTTGTACTAATTGAATGTATACCCTCTATTTAGGATAACACCGTATCACAGGCTTCGGAACGCGAAAGCACCAGGGAGGTCACTGTTACCGAAACCCGGGCTGCTGAACGCGAGGAAAACAGTAGAGTCATTGTTTCCGAATCACAGGTTGCCGAACGCAAAAGCAACAGGGAGGTCGCTATTACTGAAAACCGGGCTGCTAAACACGAAGACAACAGTGGAATCAGTAAAAGTAAGTGTTAAAAACCATTGTTCGGTCTTTAGGTCTTTTTCTATGTAACTATCAAGCAGTGCCCTTTTTGTTCAGAGGTGGGTTTGAATTGAAATTTTCATATAACTCTTTCTCTCAGACCAATACTCTGGTCACTGGAAAGACGATCCAGATTCAAGCGATGTGTACAGGATGAAAAGTAACCCCAGAGGATTGATGGTCATCATTAACATCCAGAAATTTGCTGTTGACCCTACACATGAAAACCGAGAGGAGCTCATGAAAGAATTGACCGAGCGCGAAGGTTCTGAGAGGGATGTTGATAAACTAACTGATCTTTTCAGTGGAAAGCTAAATTTCAAAGTCTGCACCATCATAGACAAACCAAGAATTGAAATTTTGGGAGAACTGCGAAGATTTGCTGAAGACTCTGCCTACAAAGATTACGACTGTCTTGCAGTGTGCATCATGAGTCATGGAAAAGACGACAAATTCTACGCATACGATGGAAAACCAATCAAAGTCTCAGCTGTTTACAACATGTTCTCCAACTCGATGTGTGAGGTTTTTCGCTTCAAGCCAAAGCTGTTTTTTATACAAGCATGCMGTSGACMAARGGGCAGTAAGTTTGTCGCAGCCGATGGGCCATCGGTAGAATCTTCAGCACAGCATCCACATACAGAGAGCAAAGATGCTGATATGGCAGACATGCTCATCGCTTACTCTAGTTTTGAAGATTACACCTCATACCGACACTCGGAAGAAGGAAGCTATTTCATCCAAAGCTTGGTTCGATTTTTCCGAGAATATGCAGATTCGGAACATGTTGAGGAGCTATTGACAAGAGTTAAAAATGAAGTTCACAGGCTTATACAAGAGACATCGCAAGGCCGAACACAAATCCCTGCTCCTGTATCAACACTCCGCAAGAAACTGTATTTCTGGCCAGGAATGGATTTTAATACGTGATCTAAGCATAGTTAACTATGATCTAAGGAATACATAGATGTAAAAATGGTGAGCTCTAGAAAACTCAAACTTTACTCACATTCGGATTACGTTTAGGACTCAGCGAGGAAGATCTTGATACACTACACTCTTCATCTTCAGTTTTAAAGATAGTTCTAGATAAAAATAATAATACAATTGGCAGGGTTACTTCAATGCTTTGAGAAAGTGTTGGGCTCGTTTCCCTGAACAGCAACTAGCGGACATTATAACCACGATGGTTAAATTAGGATGAATCCTGTAGCTTATGCTTAGCTTTTGCGGAAGAAATTTTCTGGAGTAGTTTTTGTTGAGGTATTTTAAATGGATTTATCGTTTTATAGACGCCTAAAAATATAGCAAACATTAGTATCAATCGTGATATTTAATAATTTTTAGAGAAAACAGGTATTTTCTTAAGATATTTTTAATCTTTGTATTTCAATTGAAATGTAGGTATATAGTTTTATAGTTCTAGCTAGAATATTTTATGAAATAGCTCAAAGCTGTGTMAATTATAATSATGTGGTAGTCTACAATTAGAAAGTTTTATAATCTTGCGATAAAATGGTATTTTACTTTGTATCATGAACAAAATGTTTGTAAATTATCTATCCGTTTTGCAGTGCTAGTAGGATTAAAGGAGTATCCAAGTRTAAAGAAGTTATCCCTATCCAATTTATCTGGCCGTGCTTCCTGTGCATGTGATGTTTATGATCGTAATGATTCCAGTTTGGGGAACCCCCTAATCAGCATATTGTTTTTCTGTCGAGCGTCGCGGGCGTTCACTTGTCGGTAGTTGTTGCTTGTTATTATCAAGGTGCTTGGCTCTCTTTTCCGTTTTTCAACATGGTGCATCATGTCTCACAGCTCTAACTATCTTATTGAATAGTTTAATGACAGTATTTCTGGTGATTTCCATGTTAAAAGCGAAGAAACTTCCAAAAGACGAGAGAACTTCGAAGAAGTATAATGTAATGTTGACAAAGGTAAGTGCCTCATTCATTTCAAGCTATTTGGATGGATTCAGAGCAATTTGTTGATTTTGTTATGACTTTAAGGCATATAGCAAGTTCTTATTTTTGTTTATTAGGAATTTTTATCACGTTACTTTATAAGGGAATGAAGTTCTATGCATATGCAGTATCATATAATGGGATCCATCCACTGTAATGAGCGTCAGTCGCCATAAGGCACCGATTGAGTATAGTGAGTTTATTCATATATATTAGAAGTCGTAAAACTTGTTTTTGATGAGATTCTGTGAACAGTTTGACGAACAATTTGAGACGGTAAACTCGAATTCGTATTTAAATTCGCACTCCAATAAAGTTACCTCGAGGTCGATTTCAATTATTCGACCACCACACTTCACTGCACATTGAGTCTATGAAAACATATCATGGAGGTCACACATGTTATTTTTATAATAAACTTCTCTTTCACAAAAAACGTTTTTATAAGCGATTTATACCTTCTCGCCTTCATGGTTAAACAACAAACCAACAAGGTCATCCTTTTGTAATATCCGACACAGTGTCGTTACTCTGAACAGAAAGGAAAACTACCATAGAAAAGAAATAAGTAGCTACATTATTAGCTACACGGGTCAGTCGAGAAATTGTTTTTAGATATCTAAATTCCCTGAAATAAGAAGTGGCCTTGGAGTTGTGATTATGGGAAGSAACTCGGACTGGGTAGTGTTGATCGACGATTTTCTTTTAGACTGATGGTTGTAGGCCAAGCTTGGCAATTTTATCATGTTTAATTTGCTATAGAATATCGGGCATATTAAATTAGTTACTAAACTTGAATGGCTAATAAGGACACTTGCGCGTATCGTTTTCATAGTAAACTAACAAATAACTTTTTCACGTTTCAATCGCTCTATCAAGTCAACAAGATCCATACACACTACCCCCAACATTGACTTTTTTTAGCGGAATAACACCCTCAATCGCATGCCAGCAACCCCGGGACCACAGCCATCATCGCGGTTTGCTGTGTATTCTGCATAAATCTAACGAAGTCATAGCTTGTACAAACTGTGTTTGAAGTCATAATGCATTTCATGATTATATTGATCTACATGCACCGTGTTTTTGACAAGGGTGCTGGCAAGGCAAGTTAAGTCAAGGATTTAGATAAGGAAAATAATTAGTACAATAAAAGTTTTCATCAGATTTCCTTAATTTCCTCCTTCGATTATTCGACCTTTATCTTAGTAATGGAAGTTATTCGTAGACCAGAACGAGGTAAAATAATATTTAGATAATTTATTGTTCTAGATACCAGAGAAGAGATATTCCAGGTGCAGTGAACATACCAAATGAAAATGGCGACCGATCAGGTGCTCCCACCTCAAACTCAACAAACCTTTGCAGACGTCGATAAACTTCTGAGCCAACACGAAAAAMCATGTATTATTCAAAGTATGAAAGAGAGATTTTCAGGTAAATTGGATGGCTTGGATRATGAGGATTTTTCTGAGTTCCTGAAAGCTTTGTTCAAAATTGGCGTCATCGCCGAAGACCTGTCGCTAATTCAGAAAATCACTGCAAATGCMGAGAAGAAGGATGAAATCCAAGACATCATTGGCAAATGTGAGCCACTWGAGATACGAAAATTTGTAGGAAGAGAATACGATGTTAAAGAAATATGCAAGAAACTTACTAATGTCAAGTATCCTGCCCGGGGAGTAAATCTTTTTGGAGAATCAGGAGTTGGCAAAACAACGCTTGCTCAGGAAATTGCTAAATCCCTGAAAGSCGATTTCCAGCTGATCACTATCGATTTAAGAGGTATTCGTGACTTGGGGAATGTCTATTTTCATGTTCTTGAAGGATTCAACCTGCCAGCTTGGGATAATGATAAAGAAAGATTCATCTCATACCTTAAAACTCTAACAGAAAATACTCTATTGATTCTTGATAATGTTGAGCAATTACATGTTCTCCCATCGGAGAAAGAGACTGAGGAAGAGACTGGGAAAGAACCTGAGAGTTCAAGAGCAGATTTCCTTAATTTTCTTCTTGAAATAGTTACTTCTAAAGCTTGTGAGAGTGATAACTTGAAGCTTCTTTTGACTTCAAGGGAGAGATTGGACGATGCAAAGTTAAGACAAAACTTGCTTTCTGATTATAAAGTGACGCTTTTGGATGACCAGGTTTCTAAAAGCTTTCTTAATGGTGATGTCATTAAGAAAAGGATTCCTAAGCTCTCTAAGGGAAATGAAGAAGCAGACAAAGACATGCAAGAAATTGTAAAACTATGCAAAAATATCCCGTACCTATTACAATGTGCCAAGCAGATGCTAAGGGAGGGATTCAAGACATCTTCAGAGGTTTTGCAAAGGCTTCAGTCTCAGCCCAAAGAATATGCTTGCTTGGCTGAACAATTTGAATCGATCCCCAATGACCAACTCAAAGAACTTGCAGTGAAGATATCTCTTCTCCAGCGACCTTTCTCCGTCTCCACAGCAATGAAGATTGGAGATATTAAATCAAAWTATGATGCTAGTATTGATYTAGAATTGCTAGCARTTCACAAWGTAATATCAAAAGTAGATGGAAAGAAKTTAAAGTATGATACCCATGCTCAGTTCAAAGATTTTGTGAAAARRTATCTTTGTAAAGCCCAGCCACAGTACAAAGAGATATATCAAGAGGGAGAAAAACAATTTTTTATTCATTTTTCTGGAAAAATGAGCAAACTTGCTCACCATTTAGATAAAGAGTTTGTCGATGTCTATTCAAAGCTTGAAGGTAACCGAGCTAATTTTGAGCTGGCCATTGACATTTCAAAGAAACGAAGTGAAGTCTTTGATGTTCTTTWYCATTCTGATGAGCACAATGAGGCAGCTTTGATGGGCCTTTTGTTTGAAGCGTTGAAAGACATCAATGAAAGAAAAAAGCTGTATGAACAATGGGCTGAAATTGCAGAAAAATCAGGTAAGATTTAATTGGTCCACTTTCAATCGAAACAGCTTGTTTAATCGCTACTCTTTCAAGCCGATTTTGTTATGCGCTACCTGTAAACATAGAAAGAAAACATCAAACACTAGTGCACGTTTAAGAATATATCTCGTCATTACTTTTGCGCATCACTGCTTTTGACAGWTTTCATTACGAAATACAGCCTCTTGCGCTTGCTTCTGCGCTGGCTCTCAGAAAGACCACCTCTATAGAAAATAAGACTCGTATAGATGTTTTCGTGTAAAGGACAAATATGTGACGTGATTATTAAAAAAATTGTTATAAACCATTGAAAATGAAAAGTCAGGGAATTTCACTTTTTCACATAATTAGGAGCAGTGTTATATTAAATCATGATAATTTTTCAAAAAAMCCATTGTTGTTCATTGTTTCGTTCGTGAAGAACTGTTTTACTAATCTTTACATTGTTGCTCTTCTGACCTGCTCGAATTCTCACAAATATACAAGTCCAAAAGACTGAATAAATATTTGTRWGTACTCTACAGTGACTTTCCTGCAAAGGGAATAATCGTGACATTGCCTCGGAAATTAAYTTTGAGTTCTTAGTGGTACGTGTATATGAGGTGTTATTCTGAAATGCTAAAAAGATCAGAATTTTTAATCTTTTACAATTTTAGGGAATTGGTTGAGCAGTGCACAGTTAAGATGCTGGCAGGCTCTACAAGGAGCAGACATGGAAGGGACACGCGATGCCGATGAAGCTCTCCGCATTGCAAAAGAGTCTTTGAAAAAGGCAGAGGAACAACCGGAACAACAGCAGGAACAACTTGATTCYGCTAAAAGCCTKTTTCGTCATGCCAGTGGAAGAATTAAGTGGCTCCATGCTTCAAAATCGCAGGACTCAAAAGAAAAGAAAGAAGAAATTCAAGAAGGAATTAGAAATTTGAAGGAAGCTCTGAGGCTGAGTGAGGATGCAACAAAAGGACAAGCCAGTACAATGAAAGCTCGGATTGTCAATCTGATTGGGAATTGCTACATGGAGCTAAACGATCCTTCGACTGCAGAGACGTACTTTCTTCGCGCATTGGGAATGAAAAGGAAACTTGTTGGGAGCGACAACCACTGGGAGATCCCGACATACTACAACCAAATCGCGCAAGTTCACGAGCGACGTGGTATGGACATGGAAAAGTCTTTTTTCGCGTTTTGGTATAAAACGAAAATTGATGCAGAATATAAAAGTGCAGTACAATGGATGGAAAGAGCTCTTAAACTTCAAGAAGATTTAGGCGTCAGTGATACAGAACACACCGCCACATTTCAAAGAAATCTTGCAAACTGTTTAATCAACATTGGAGAGTATGACAAGGCGCTGTTTTATGCAAATAAGTGTTATGAAAAGAGAATACAGCGGCTGGGTGAACATCCTGAGACTGCTAGGATTCTGTACCTAACAGGAATTATACACGAGTGGAGGAAAGATATYGARAGTGCACGYAAAAGCTATGAACAGGCTTTTGAAATGGAAGAAGCACTTCCAGAATACAATCACAGCATTGTGAGGACATTGATTCGGGAGAGATTGGAGGCGATGTACAGAAGGTTGAAGTTGGAAGATAAGATGGCAAAGCTGAATTTGAGAATTGAAGAGATAAAAGAGGTGGTTCAACCTTGCTATTATTGTCATTTCAATTAAAGTTTATGAGGGGGCATAGTTGATCTAGGGATAGTTAGATTTATAGGCTTGAATAGTGACTTCTAAGTTATGTATGGAAAGAATACGAATGAATTATTGAAGTAAGAGTCTTACTTCTGAGATTCACGCTGTAAAGGCATTCAGTTATTTTCTTTTCATTTTTTTTCTTTAATATTAAAGTATTTGTATAATGGGAATATTGATTGATTTAGCCTTCAATATAATGATTCAATTTTGATTTCTTGCAATTTCAGGGCAGGAAAGAGAGGATCCATATTACTGTGTAAGTAGTATTACCAATTCCGCAAAACCAAAGGARCTCCTAACATTCCAAGGAAGGTTGGGAGCTCAATCGTTGAATGTTCAGAATTCGTTTGGTTTTGAGGGTTACTTACTAGTGACTTGCTTAACTTAACCTGAGAACTTAAAAAACAAACTAAAACTAAAACTAAACCAATCAAGATTGCATGACCAATGAAGTTGCCACAAATTATTACTTTACCATATTAGCAGATTTCAAGCCTGACCTCTTGAGCACTAGCCACTAGACTGAAAAAAAAAAAAACCAACTCGCAGTATACTTACCGTGTGCGGCGGGCTTTACGAAACTTGTAATAACGTAGCGATTAATGATTAGCTGTTGATTGTATGATACTATACTATAATCAACAGTTATCAGCAAGGAACAACATACAATAATAAGACAAAAGGTTTCTCTCTTCACTTCCCTCATGATTGCGTCACGGAGGCAACCCAAATACATGCGTCAAGAATGAACCTCCTCTCACCTAATGATTCAATGGAGAGTCTAGTTAGCTCTATCGTGCAACTGGGACCAAGGTCTGTACATCTGGAGCCTTTTGTTATGACACTTTCGCATTGCGGTGTTGAGAAATCAAAGGGATATGAAACTAAAGTGAAAGTCTTCAATGAAGAAACTAGAGCATGGGAAGAAGTGGAAGGTTAGAGATATATCCATCCATTCATTTATCCATTTATTCATCCCTTCATGATATATGTTACTGTCTTATGTACACCTACTTGCGAAAACGTTGTCATAAAAAAATAGGACATTTGTATTTAGTAAACAGGAATAAATTAAAAAATACAAAAGAAGATCACTGAGGCTTAACGCTCTCTTTTCTCTTTTTTAATTTATTCCTTTTTACTAAATTCAAATATTCTATTTTCTWTAACAACGTTTCKGCAAGCAGGTGTATATCAGTAAACTTGTTTTATTGTCATTACTCTTCCCTTAAGACTGATAACCTTTATGTTACCGTGTTGTAAAGAAGTCAGTAAGCAATAATTACGTCCTATTACTTTTGTTGAAAAGTTGGGCTGTAAGCTTGTACAATCAAAACACTAGAACAATTGAGACAGATCTGATTTGATCATAAATGAGCTTTATTCTCTATTTCATTTCATTGCCTTGTACACTTGTTTGAAATTAAATAACWTATTTTGCATCAATGCGTTTCTCGTTGAACAGTGTTATCTCTTTAAAATGCTGTTGCTACCACATGCAATGCGCTACCCCACCCAAGCTTTCTTGACTAATATTTATACACCGGTCCTATTACTAAAAAAACATCATGGCGCCGCCGTATCTGATATAGAAATACAAAATAMAACTTTTGTGCTATAACACCTTTGTATTATCATCATAATATTTAGAAATATAATACCCGTTATGCGTAACCACGTGCATGAACGCCTTTTTTACAGAACTGCCGCCAGAATCAATACCTCCTTCAACCATTCAGGCTCCATRCATTGGAGTAGAGCTAACTAAAATGGTAGCCGTGGCAGTAGTTTCCAGRCTTGTCACTGATAAGTTTGAGGTGCCAGTCAGCGGTTGCGTTGTCAAGTCGAGCGTATGCGATGACGTCACGCTGAGTTTTCCTGAAGGAGCTGTTGATGAGATGGCCAAAGGAAGCTTACAGGTGAGGCACTGAAATTGTAATCGAAATCTATGGAGCAGTTTGATAATAGCCATCATTTATTCGTATTTATCCAGGTCATCCCGATTCCCGGTCACGTCATAAGTGAAAATTCTGAGGCAATTCCATGTCCAGTTGTTCTTATTACTGGACTCGAGAATGTTTCTTTCTCTAAACCCGTTGAAATAACAGTTCCACGTGCTTCCCACTCAAAGTATGACAGTATTCGCCTCCTTCGTCTGGACAATATACGAAATCCTCCTTTTCATTGGAAAGACATCACTTCAGATGATATTGATGCAAAGATAGATGAACATGTTATATATCTACAAGTGCAGAAGTTTTGTGGGTAGGTTCCACAGCGAATTAGGTTTCTCATGGTATTTGGCTTTTTTTAGTTTCATTGATATATATTTAATAATAAGAACGTTATTACATGGGCGCGAGGAGATGCGCATTGTATTTTCGAGTGTGTCATTGATATCACTTTAATGACTGATTTTCCGTATGTGAATAAATCGAGACACGACCTAATTGCATGCAGTTGTCTATGGCCTATTAAAATATMTCTCTATAGAGACACTTACGTACATTTTTCCTGATAGGCTGTGGGTTTGGAATACAGTAAAGAGAGCTACAATTAACAACCTCATCAAAACAGCCTTCGATCTCTATACCTACATATGGAACAAGCCATGCATTGTCAGATTTGCAGCTTATCAAAAAATTCAAAGATCAGGAACCAGCAATGGCTCAAAGTTCGACTTGAAGCTCGCATGTGTAGCCAACAATGAACAACAAGAACTAACAAAAGAACTAGAACTACAAGGTGAGAGATGTGTTTACGATACAATTGTCTGACTTATTGACTGACTGCAAGAATTATTTTTCTGATATTTTTGTAGAATACGACCTACTTCAATACTCGACTGCAGATGAAGCCATGCGAAAGGCTGATAAAGCCTTTCCTGAATTGAAAGGAACCGAGACGTTAAAATGGGACGAACATTTCTTTCTAGAGTGAGTTAGTGTGACCTTTTTCTCAGCTAGTCACCAGCTAATTAAACATGATCTAGATATAGTACCATAAACCTTCTGAGCGTTCTGATGTCTACTCTAACCGTTTTAATAGCTCTCTATACTTCAGTTTCGACATCTTATTTCTGCAGCCTTAAACTCGAAAGCATCGGAAATATATTCTTTTATTGAGCAGAGATCGTATTTTAATGCAAACACTCTGTGTGCTCAAAATAAGTTTATATGTATTTCAAAATGTTTTACTATTATTTTTAAACGATTAGAAAGAAAGAAAATGAAAGTTTTATTACTGCTGCATCATTCGCTATCAGACTTTGAAGCAGCACAACCTCGGCTTTCTYCCTCATATTTTCTTCGGAATTCTTGCTGTAAGATAATTATATACAAATGTTAATTGCAGATATCTAGGAAATGGACAGAAAGCCTGTCAAAAACCACTGATCTTAAAMACACGTCTTATTGAGATTGATGTCAACTTTTACCGCGACAAAGAAACGAAGAAAATACGTCTGTGCATGTTGCCGTTAAAAAAGAAACCTCCAAAGGTGAGACTCGGTCATYGTGTAATGCAAGTTCTGAATTCAAGAATAGATGCGGGAAAGGTTTTGATGTCAAGGAATTTGTCGGKTCTTTACATGTGTCTGCCTTACAGCTCTTCAATAGGCGATTTTTTTTCAATTTATAAATTTTTAGAACAGCTAGTTCATTGTTACCCTTTTTACTGGAATGTTTTGTTTTACTCAGGAGTTTTTTATTGGGCCAATTAAGCATGCTGTGAGCGGGCATGCAAATCAGTGGAACTAGGTCTCAGGATTATAAAGAAGTAGACCTCTTTCGAGGGAAATCAAAACAACAAACCAACGATTTTTGCTGTCTTTTCTTTTTCTTCTTTTGCTTTTTGTTTGCTTGCTTGTTTTTTTGTTTTTTGTTTTGTCGGCCAGATAGAGCTGTATTCGTTGAGCTGCAAGTAGACGGTCGTATTACTACTCTTGGAATATTGCTATATCAAAATGAGTTACGTTAATATCTCTTCTGTTGCTATTAGAATACAGTTTCTAGCGATGTGTACAGGATGAAAAGTAACCCAAGAGGATTGATGGTCATCATTAATATGCAAAAATTTGTAGTTGATCCTAAAGTTCAAGACAAAGTAAAGCTGGATACAGAATTAACCGAGCGAAAAGGATCTGAAAAGGATGTTGATGAACTAAATGACCTTTTCAGTCGATATTTGAATTTCAAAGTTTGCATCGTCATCGACAGACCAAGACGTGAACTTTTGAGACGTCTTCGAGAAATTGCTGAAAATCCTGCCTACAAAGATTACGACTGTCTTGCAGTGTGCATCATGAGTCATGGAATAGACGACAAATTCTACGCATACGATGGAAACACAATCAAATTCTCAGCTGTTTATAGCATGTTCTACAACTCGGACTGTGAGGTTTTTCGCAACAAACCAAAACTTTTTTTCGTACAAGCATGCCGTAGACGAATAGGCAGTGGGGTTTTCGTAGCCGATGGACCATCAGTAGAATCTGCATCAAAGGTTCCACAAAAAAAAGAGGGTGAAGACGATAAGGCAGACATGCTCATCGCTTACTCTTGTTTTGAAGATTGCACTTCATACCGACATATGAAAGAAGGAAGCTATTTCATCCAAACCCTGGTTTCTGTTTTCAAGGAAAATGCAGACAATGAGCATATTATGGATATGATGACAAGAGTAGTTGATGGAGTATACAAACATTCTCAAGTCCCAGCAAATGTACTGTCACTCCGTCACAAGTTGTATTTCTGGCCAGGAATGGATTTTGATGAGGGATCTTAAGAAATACCTTGATATAATAATGTTCAATGAATCGCAAACTCAAACTCAAAACTCAAACTTTACTCACATTCGGATTACGTTTAGGATTCAGCGAGGAAGATCTTGATACACTACACTCTTCATCTTCAGTTTTAAAAGAAGTTCTAGATAAAAATATTCAGACACTTGGCAGGGTTGCTTCAATGCTTTGAGAAAGTGTTGGGCTTGTTGCCATGATMAGCAGCTAGCGCTCATTGAAACCAACAAGATTACATCTAATTAGGATGAATCMTCTGAATCTTATGCTTATAGCTGCAGAAAGAATAGAGTATAGTTTTTATTGAGGTATTTAAGATTTATTGTTTAATAGACGCCTAAAAATATAGAAAATATTTTCAATGTTATATTTAGTGATTTAAGAGGAAAGGATTATGCATAACGTGCAAGCTGAGGTTCGCGGGTCACAATTTGCGGGCTTCGGGTCTTAATTTGCGGGTCATAATTTATTCAATTTCTCAAAAACAGCAAAATAATAATTACATAAATAAACAACAAACAACAAACAAACAAAATACATGAAAAACAGATCAGACAAAAACAAAACAATGAGAACATAACAATAATTAATTAATAATTAATTCCGTATTTTACTGAAAACAGTGTATAAGAACGTGTTTTTAGTGCATAACTCCAAAATATACTATGAAAAGTGCTATTTCCATGAAATAGAATATTTTTTATCGGTCTGTAAAACAATTACTATTATTGTATATCAAGTGTCAAAGTTCACTTTTCCTAGTATCTTATTGGTCGAGAGTGTACCACGTGAAAGTCACAAAATTTTACTGTTTCCCGGCAACTGTCCACYAGCGGTCAATATTTGTTGTGGACCGTCAATAGGTACAAAGTCGCAGAAAAACACTCGTCGGTGTCGTGAAAATGACACATTTACGGATGGTGMATTCCAAAATTGTTATGAAACMTTTAATTTYGACTGATKGACTAATTTTAGTGACATTTGACTATTTGTATTGCCATTTTTCTGTCATTTTATCAAAATCTTTAATAAAAACACTTCATTTATTTACTTTTTTTGCTCTCTTTGACACTTGATATGATAATAATAAAGCACTTATTTACTGGAAACCTCGGGAAACAGCTTCGCCTCGGGAAACATCAGCGGTCTCGGGACCTCAAAACATACTGTTTCCCTGGGTTCCAGTAAATAAGTGTTAAATAGTGATTAGTAGATACTGATAGTTGTATTACAACAAAAGAAAAGTCTATGTTTTATGGTTTATGGTTTAGGGTCTAGACTATTTCACAGTCAACAACTCCAAACAAAAACTAAAATAGGTAGTACTCACTGAACTGAAACAATCTATATTCTTAGCGCTGTGTGCTGTACACAAAGGAAAATAACATACATTAAGAAAAGTACGACGAGTTTCAAGGTGTTCGGGCTGTGCATTTGGCCGGACTTTGYCGGATCGAATGAATCAGCCTGCTTACATAAAGTACTAATCGAACTGCGATATTTAGCCCGCACCCCGCAGATTAGCGGGACCAAGAGGAAAGAACAGAAATTTCCATAAGATGTYTTAATCTTTGTATTTGAATTGAAATGTAGGTATATAGTTTTATAGTTCTAGATATAAATATTTTATAACATGGCTCAAATCTGTGTAAATTACAATGGTGTTGTAGTCTTAATTTAGAAAGTTTTGTAATCTTGCGATAAAATCGTAGTTTACTTTGTATAGCATCCAAAAGTTTGTATAAATTATATGCACCTGTTTTACGAAAAAAATTGTCACAATAAACTCTAGATGTTTCTAAAAGGGGTTCAGTGCGCTATATAAAACATATGAGTAAATTTATTTTACGTCACATCAAAACTTCCCTAATTTTAACGCTAAGGATTATGGTCGCCAGAGGGGATCARAGTGACTGCATATCAAATAAAATGTAGATGAGTAATCATTTAATCGTATGAGGAAGTAGCTGATCCCATTAAAGAGTGCTCAATACACAAAAAGTGTAGAGCTAGTTATATATATGTGATATCAAAGAGGCAAGATTTTGCTGTAACTCCGAGTAATCATTTATAAATGAAATATATATTAAAACATGATTCGTTGAAGTTCTACTTTAGGAGAAAATATAAATGGGTCCAAATTTCCACTGTTTTTTCCCCCAATATAAACATACTGTGACGTCTAATGAAATGGGGAATATCATCTGTCCGTACTTCCTGTTTTTGAGTTCTGACCTATCGCGTGAGACCTATTATATGATTAGCTTTTGGGGAACMCCCTAATAATCATGAGTTATTTCAGTTTCAAAACCGTTCGTTTCTTGGTAGTCGCTTGGTGTTTATCGAGATCTTTGGWGCTTTTCCCGTTGTTCAATCTGAACCGTCGATTTGCACAGCTCTAACTATCTTATTGTAGTTTAATGGAAGTATTTCTAATATTTTCCATGATGTAAAATCGAAGAAACTACCAATTGACGAGACAAGTTCGGAGTAAAGAAAGCTGACAAAGGTAGGCGCTAAGTTCATACTAGTTTCATACTTCTTCTGTCGTTTGAGAGAAGTTGATTAATTATGTTGGGAGTAATAGACATTTAGCAATTTAACCCACCTCAATATCTAAACGGGTTCGTATTTGCAGTATCAAACTTCCATCCAAATACGCCATGGAGTTCATTCATATATATTAATTAGAAGACGGAAAACGTTTTGACGAAATTCTGTGTTTCAAAAACCTATAGTTCAGATAGTTTGACGGACAATAATTTGAAACGTTATATAGCCCGTAACTCACCGGATTTCTATCAGACGGGGTTTACGTGTAGCGATTAGTTTTTCGTCTTGATCGGACGGAATCCTTTTGTGTTGTGTGAGTTCAACAAATGATATGCACAAGTTGTCGAAACGTTTGGTAAAGAACCGCTAAAAGGCCGAAAAGTCATATCGTGTTGGCGGCATGTATTTTTAATAAATAAATGTCTTTATTCAATAGATTTCAACAAACATGGAATCTTTACATACAAGTATTAAAAAGGAGAATAGAAATAGAGAAGAATATGTATAATAAAAAAAGACATCTGTTTATGAAAGAATGTTTTAAGTATCGTCCGATCTTTACTTTCGGTAGGTAGCAGTTCCTGCAGTATGTGCTCATTATCTTCTGTGATCTTTTTAAATAACAGATTGTCCCTTTCTTTTATGACTTAAATAAAAGTTTCAAATTATTTTCATTCATTACGTATACTGCGGGCATTCTCGAACATTCGATCATAACACATTACTGCACTCGATGATACCAAAACATAACTTTGGCGTCACATATCTTTATTGTTGTTGAAAAACAACTGGGATAGACCTAATCGGCTAACGCGTTGCTAAAACGTTTCCAACCAATTCGAACCACCCTGGAGTAAGTTCCATTCTTCGTGTATTTTCATTTCACAGTTGAAATCTTACAAACAAAAGTTGTTTTCCCCACAGGATTTGAATTGGGTGGTAACGTACATGGCAACGTGTTAGGCGATTATTAGGCCTATTATAAAGGAACTGTTTTTATCAAGAAGGTTGTCCCTAGGTCTCTTTTGTTTGCGTTTCATAAAACAAAAGAATTAGTCCTTCCACCTAAGTGTAACCTACGTCATGCAAACAGGGTCTACAAAAAAGTGATTAAAATTTTGTCCCAGAACACTCAATTTCTTAAATGATTCTTTTTCTCAGACAACGTTTTTTCTCCTTGCTAAGCCGCAACAACGTCAGTCTTTTGCATGATCCGCCACAGCGCGAGGCTCTGAACAGAAAGGTAAGTCGTTCTTTAGTTTATTTCTAAATACCTAAATTCGCTGAAATATAAGAAGTGACCTTTGAGTCGTGGTTATAAAAGGTATTTCCGGGTTGCTCCTAATCGCAGAGCCGTCAGCAGCTCATACTGCGCCTTGCAGATCGACGGTTGTAGCACAAGCTTGATAATATTATTATGTTGATTTGCAAAAAAAATATCACACAAATTGAATTTCTTTCTTTCCTTGAATGATAACAAAGTCCGCCTTTGTGTGTGTCTTTTAATTCATCTTATTACACGCGGACATCAACCGAATTACCACTTTATGTGKTGACATTTTTAAGCTTTTAAAATGCTCCTGAAGGCATGATCATAACTTTTGAACAGCATTTTAATTTTGAGTTCTGCGCCATAAGTTCAACGTTTGTCCACTTGTCTCATGTATCCTACAGTAATTAATCCAACTTAATTATTGGGCTTGCGTCACCTGCGTTTACGTTCGTGCATTTAAGATCATTATTGATGCACATTCACCGTGTATTTGACAGGGTTGCCGCCTAGCCAATATTAGATAAGGAACTATAGCTATCGTGTATAAGGTGAAAGAAGATTTACTTAATCTCCTACTCCGATTATCGCGCCCTATTTCAAAAGTTATTAATAGACATACTTTTTATTAAAAAAGATACTGAGTTAACATGGACCACTAATGATGAGATATTGTTTTAGATATCAAGAAAGAGATATACCAGGTACAGTGAACATACCAACTTAAAATGGCGGGCAATGTGATGCTCCCTCCTCAATTTCAACAAACCTTTGCAGACGTCGATAAACTTCTGAGCCAACACGAAAAAACATATATTATTCAAAGTATGAAGGAGAGATATCCAAGGAAATTGGATGGCTTGGATGATGAGGATTTTTTGGAGTTACAGAAAGCATTGTTCAAAATTGGCGCCATCACAAACGACCTGTCGCTAATCCCGAAAATCACGGCAAATGCAGAGAAAAAGGAAGAAATCCAAGCCGTCATTGACAAATGTGAGCCACTAGAGATGAAAAAATTTGTAGGAAGAGAAGCTGATGTCGAAAAAGTTGTCAAGAAGCTTACTAATAAGTGGAATTGTGTTCCGGGAGTTAATTTTTTTGGAGAATCAGGAGTTGGCAAAACTACACTTGCCCAAGAAATTGCAAAATCTCTGAAAGATTTCCAGCTGATCACAATCGATTTAAGAGGAATTATTGACATGGGAAATGTCTGTTTTCATGTTCTTGACGGATTCAAACTGCCAGCTTGGGATAAGGATATCAGTAGATTCATCTCATACCTTAAAACTCTGAAAGATAAAACCCTTTTGATTCTTGATAATGTTGAGCAACTACATGTTATCCCATCAGAGAAAGAGACTGAGAGCCAAAAAGCAGAGTTTTTTGATTTTCTTCTTGAGATAGTTACTTCAACAGCTTGTAAAAGTGGT